GATTTCACCAAAGCTAATCCTTTGCAACAGACTTTAAAAGAGAGCAAGTGATTTTTTTTAATGATATTTACAATATTATACTATTAAATGATCCCAATTTAGTTTTAAAGGCCTTCCATCTTTCACCCACACATAGATATGTGTAGATGTTCATATATTCATCTTTTTCTATCATATTTAATCTTATACATACACACACCGCAAGATGTTTAAGGTGATTACATTTGAATGGTAGGCTTTTCTCTTTATTTTTTTTTATTTAAAATTTTCTACAAAGTACAGTTATTATTTTTAGGGAAAAAAAAAGCCTACAAATGTTATTTTTTAAATGCATAGAAGAGAAACTGTCTAAAAAAGACTGGCCAGAGACCAATGGAAAACTGATGGTCCCCAGGAGATGAATCAGTGGAACCATAAGTGTTTCCTCGGGTCATTACAAAAGGGGGCTGTATGGGACTTATAAAAGTGTAATTGTTACTTTCAAACTCACTAAGTTTGTTAAGGTTACTAAGCTTAAGTAATTCCAAAGTAAACACATTATCCTTGGGTCTCCAATACTGTCTTCAGTTAAAGTCTGTTACACTGAGGTTCAGAAACATTAAGAGCATCCCTTACTGAAATTCTTGCTTGGGGACCCAGAATATAACCTTATACCACTAGAAAAACAGGTTTCAGGATACCTAAAATAAATATAGTTAATGGCAGCTCCACTTCCTAGTCCATCATTCCACAATATGATCCTATACCAGTAAAGATGTGGTTCAGCCACCGAAATGTTTGCAAACAAGAGACCATGAGTGACTCTCCTTTAATCTCTATACTGTTCACTAGCATTAAGTTTTAGCAGTGAACCATCTCTGTATTGATGAGATGCAGGTCCAATTCAGTGATTATTGTCAGCATCTATCAGTTAGCAACCATCAGACTGCATCCCTGCAAAGCAAGCTAAGCAGTAAGGCAAAACCTTACTAAACACATCTCCAAGAACAGTAATGTACCAATAAAGCAATGCCGAGAGCACTTTACATTTGCATAAGTTAGGAAATGAAACTCAAAAACTGCACGAAACAAATTCAACTCAACGTTGAGGCATAACAAAAGCAACAAGGTTGTATCATAGGAGATCTCTGGTCCAGCTCCCAGAGTTCTTGCTAGAAACAACCAAGAAATCTGTTAATGCCTTTAAGGGTCATGGCAGAGGGCAGAACTTAAGGATGAGAGCGTTCCAGAGTACTGGGGACTTGTCTCCTGCCACCGCATCCACCCCCCACACACCCGCTCACCCACAAGGGAACATAAGCGCAAACCTGCTGAGATACAACATATAATCCCTCCACCCCGAACTGCCCACCAACTTAATCCTTACCCTAAGTTTTCACTCTTTAAAGTATTAAGGGAATTTTTTTCCTGTGTAAAAATATCTAACTTTATAATGAAAATCACTGAGAAAATGAGATCCATTGTGCAGCCAATTTTGCTGAAATATAACCATTCAGTAAAGTCAGGGGTCCCCAAAAGAGTTCTACAAATACACTGAGAAGGATTTTAAATGTGTTATCTGTGTTCTTTAAGTTACTTTATTTCCAAGAAGTCAATGTTACGTAGTATTTCTTGACTAAATTGACTGTGCCAGTAAAATACAGGGAGAAGTATTACCTCTGGACCTGGTTTCCACCTCTAAGGAAAGCCTTTCCATTTTTACAGCTAACATGACAAAATCTACTTTTCAGCCCAACTTCCTCAACACAGCAGTTTAGATACTATTTCAAATACTATTAAATTTAATGGCAGGCCTAAATTCAGACTTCTCATTTCACTTTTGCACCTACTGGAAATTATTTCACTCAAAATAATTATGTCTTCAGACGATTTCCTATTTCCACTTAAAGTGGAAACAAATTAGAACACTTCAAATTCTATTTGCACTTCCCAAATACAGTAATGACTCATTTATCTGGCATCAGAAAATGAGGTTCTTCTCCATTTATCTGAAAAACGTTTAACGTGAAGTCCACAAGAGCACAGAGCTCATCTGCCTCGTTCCCTGCTATATTCCCAGGGCCTAGTACAGGGGCTGGCACAGAGTAGATGCTCAGTAACATTCACTAAATGTGTGATTAAATAAAGTACTAAAGCTTTTTACTTTTAACCACTTGATGAAAATTCTTCTACAGTTATAGCCATCCCTCTTTTTCTGTTTTTTAAAAACATAACACTGAACAGAAATTAAGCTTTTCTTATTAACTGCGGTATCACTATAAAGAGCAATCACTCTACGCCCCTACCATATGCCCATAACACCCTCAAAGCTATTCAAATAACAGGGCTTTTTGCCGCCATATTTAAATGGCCTCAACATGATACGTTTTTATAACTTTTCCTTTTCTGATATTAGGTGTCATTTCTGTTTGCAACTGCCGCCTTATTTTACACACAAATGTCTGGTAAGGTCCTGAAATTAATTCTACCTCCTAAGCAGAATAAAATACATGGACTTGGTTACAGTTCAGAAGTCTTTCCCACTTACTTCTGACCTGCAACTACACTGATTCTATTTATTTAACAGACTCCTTGTACCACCCACAACATTCTACATAAAATCCGAGATGGTTCTACTAGTTTTAAATGAGTATCTTAAGGATTTTCGGTTAAGTTCTAAGTTTCAAATATTAATCAGGAGTAATGGCTCGAAGACTAGCGCCAATATAAACCTCAGGGCGTATTTTTTTAATCCATTTAGGAGACACCAACCACGACAAAGCTGGATTTCATCTTGCTTGATATGCTGCGATAGGGCCATAATTTAGATTCACTGTTCCAGAGTTCATGGCAGCAAAACTCAAACACACTGGCAGCCATGGTGTACTGTGCTTGCACAGCAAGGCATATCTCCCTGAACCTAAGAGTGGAAGGATAATTTAAGTACAGCCTTTAGTTTATATAATACAACTGGAGTTCCTTCCCCACAACAAACTTTGAATAATGTTTATAATTTAGCAATCAACTGAAATGATGAAAGAATTACCACAATTGAAATAAAATATTTATGTATTTCAAACCAGGAGAATTGTGTCTTCAAAAACTAAAATAAGCTAAGACAAACCTAGTTCTGAATTAGGGAATGAATACAAATAAAATGGGGGATTTGTTTATTTGGGTTTTTGAGTCTCTTTTCTTCTTTTTAAAGACTTAATGAACTTTCATTTGAAATAAGCATAGTTTACTAAATTAAAGGATCTGATTACATGTTCTTTAAAAGTAACTAGTTGGGTAAACATTAAAGCAAGTTATCCAGGAGTCAAGAAAAGAAAAATTACTTCAGACTGTTTTATGAATATTCTTCCAAAATCACCAATCCTTCAGCAAAAATAGTTCAACAGAAGATTTCAGTTCCTGGTACTGAACTGAACAAAGAGAACCACATGTTTTTAATGGTTGCTCATAAACGACCCAAATAAATCTCCAAAAGAACAGCAGTGGTTCTCTCTGTATTTTTCCCTTCAAAACTCACAAGACCAATTCAACATAGAAATAAAAATTACTGTACTTTATGGCACCACTCACTTTGTGACACATTTATTTGCTGTCATGAAAGTTAGTGCCTCAACAAAGTAAATGAGATTTAGGGAAAAACTTTTTTTTATATTTTAAACAGCACAAAATGTCCTTACCACTTGAGGAAGAAAGAGTTTACCCACCTCAAATGAGATTTTCAAACTAAGTGAGAGACCTAAGTATTTATGTATAAGTGTTACAGGAAGCTTTCCAAATAGCTTTCCAATCAATTATGATGCTGACCTTAGACCAGAATTACACTGCTAACTACCACTTATAAGAAATGAAGCCTACATAACAGAAAATATAACTTAAATTTAACCACTGATGTTCTTTTTTAGTTTCCCTGACTGTGAATTAAAACACAGAGCAACAGCACACCCTGCTGGAAGTTAGTAACACAGCTAGAGTAACCAGCAGCACTGGATTGCTAAAATTTCACCCAAGATGAGAATTACTTCAGAAAGTCTGATTTCCCACTAAATGATAAAAGATGTGCACAGGCATTACCATTAGAGTCTATACATGTGACCTTAAAGGTAAAATCAAAACTGTTAATTTTAATAAGATATCGCTTTTTCCAGTTCATTTCCCTAGCCCCACACAGCCCCAAACACCCCTAAGTGATTTTACTATTTTTTTATTTTAACCCCAAATAAAAATATTTCCAAATCTACTTTCTGCAGAGAAACTGGTAATCACATAAGCGGAATTTGAGGCCACTTTGATTGCCTGAAGCACCCCTTTCTCCTTCCCATCCCAAGATATCCTGGCCTCAGAAACATCCCTGAAGACCACCATTAAGAATTCACAAGGCAGCCTAGCGGTCTGTGAACCACAATTTACATACCATTGGCAAAATGCATACACAGATTCTGGAATTCAAAACATGCAGACTACATTAAGAAACCACATGCCATGAAACTCCCATCTAGTGTGTTTCAACATTTTCATAGACATGAAAAATCACAGAAGCCATTGTCTGGATAATCCAGCTCAGTGCTCTCTCTCTGTAACAAACTGACAGGAATCCGAGGATGAGCAGAAAGGTACCAAAGTTCTGTAAGTGTGCCCTTCTGGCTACAGAAAGAAAGCTCCCTGGTACACTGAGAGCCCCCCTAGAGAAAACTACATTGCTCTTGTAGCACTGCTCTACACTCTTCTGAGTGACCAGTGTGCACTTCTTGGCTCTTTGCTCCCACATCTAAAAGGTTCTGATTGACCTGTGGTCAACTTGGAGGGCACTCTTCATCACAAAGGCCAGCAGCTCTGAGAAACCAATGAAGAAGGCCAAGGAAGATCAAACACTTCAGTTTAGTTTCTCCTCAAGAAATTCGAAAACAATTACCTTAGATCTATTTTTCTGAAGTTGTCTCCAGTGGTCTTATCTGGTTCATTATTTCAATCAAAGTACATTTAAATTAGAATTTTAAAAGGATACCAACCTCAAGCCTCTTTTCCAGTGACTCAATTCTGTCCTTTTTGCTAGCTAGGTTGGCCCGTGTGTAGCGGCTCTGCCCAGGAAGATATAAAACTTGACTGTAGCATTCTTCCCACACCTGGTTATAAGCTTCACTTGAGAGTTCTCCGTGGCTCATACCTTGTTTTACCACTTCCATCTCCTGTACCAGAACATCCTGGGCCTGTTCACAATAATAATAACAATAAGCTTGAGTACTAGAGATACCTGCCATCAACAGAAAGCTTTAAAAGACTAGTTTTTACTCCTCTGGGCAAAGACAATGAGCTCTGGTTAACTGTTTTTTTGGAAGGGGGTTATAATACCTAAGCAAAATTAATTAAGAAGCCTAGAAGTCAATGCAGGTTGATCTGAAAAGCCAAGCATCCATGTATCATCCCTGATAATGTAAACGTCCTTTGCCTTCACTCATTATAATAGCAGCTACCATTTCTCAGATACCTATTATGTGCCAGGAACTAAACTGAAAAGTTTTACCTACTTTATCTCCAAACAGCACACCACCCTTACAAAGCAGTCAACGTTAGCCTCACTTTAAAGCTGATGAAACTAAGGCTTAGCGAGGTTAAACCACTTGTTCAAAAATACAACACTAGTAAGCGGACAAGGCAAGGTCACACCCAAGCCAATGCTTGGGCACCAACGTGTGCGGGTGCTCCTCCCACTCTACCATCCCCCGCTATACTCTGGACTTCCCAGTGTGGTGAAGGGGAAGTAGGCATTTTTTTGACACCTGCCTTTTTTCTCATCTGAAAGAATGCCCCTGCCATTGTCAGAGAATAAGACTGGAGGCACAAATCAAATAATGATGGATCACAGACCAGCTTCTGTTCACTAGAAAAGATGCGGTTTAAGATGACAGAATGAGGATGGAGTTGGACAAGCCTGGGCTCCAATCACAGATTTAGCATTTAAGTAGCTATCTGAACTTGCTGAACTTCTGTGAGCCCATTTCTCATCTGTAGAGTGGAGATAATACCTAACATGTTTGTTATGAGAATTAAGTGACACAGTATACACAAAGAGCCAGCCCAACACCAGACACACAGACTCCATGAACATACCACATGAACTTTTTCCAGCCCTTTGCTTCATGGCTCATGAAAAACTGACAATTACTTTTTGTGCTTTACAGAAAGCTTTCAATCACTCCAGGAACATCAGAAAATAAACACAGGCCAAAATACATAAAGTCAAGATAAATAACCAGCATATGAAAAAAATTTAAACAAAAAAATGGAAAATCAAGTCTCTAGAAGATAAAGAATGGATACTTTTAAACAATATCTCTTAGGGGAAATAATGGAAACAAACCAATTTTAACACAATGAAAATCGGGCACTGTATCATCAGAGAAATGGTATTTCACTCTGAAACTGTACACAGTAAAAATTTACAAATTCAGCTCTTATAATAATTAGGAGAGAGTACAGCTAAGTTCTATTTAAACCATCCCTAAAGAATCTGCTAAGTAAATAGCTGCTTCAAATTCTTCGGAACAAAGGGGACTATAGATAGATCAATAAAATATGGGAGGATATTTAAACTACTGTGTAATCATTTCAAATAATTCCAAAGCACTACTTACATTATTATCAGAAAATTCATTAGAATTTGTCCCTTATAGAATCTCTATTAGCAACAACGTGATCTTTATTTCAGGTTTCCATATATACAATAAATTTAGGAAAATTTATTTCCTAAATTCCATCTTCCCCTCATATTTTCACTCTAAAAAGAGGAAACTGTTCAAGCATCAAGTTCATTGTCTAATTCTCACCCGGTTCAGTGACTGGAATGTGCCTGCCAAAGTGCAGGCACTCAACAGAGGACAGCTTCCATGGCACTTACTAAAAGGCAGCAAGTCAAAATTACTCATGAATCAGAGGCAAACAAACACAAATCTAAACTCTCCTTCCTTTCTCTATCTTCTTTTTTAAAGAAGTCCTATAATAAACATGTATCACGTATGCAGTAAGAAAAAGAGAGGAGAGAGGGAAAGTGCAGGAGAGAAGACAGACAAAGGAACCTTACGGTTTTCTCCCAAGTTAGCCCATTCTAATGGATGAGTCCATCACTGCCCCTCAGGGCGAAAGACTAAAGAAAAAGACTTTTAAGCTAATGAACACTCTGCTTCCAACCATGAAACTAACTCTATTATCTTATGCCACTGTACAGATTTCAGGTCAAAATCACAGCTGTTTGCTCTGTTAAAGCAGAAAGAATAAAATGCATATGGACGAAAAGGCAGGACAGACTTTAGACAAGAAAACATTTCTTTATTTCCTTATCCAAAAGGGTAGGGGGAAATCATGTCAGGGGAATGAATTCAGTGAATATTTCCTTTCTGTGAATAGGTGAAAGATTTAATCTGTAAATATTTTTAATATATTCTTGTTTTTTCATAGTATTCTAAATAAGTGAGGTTTAAGTATTAAAGGCATTCCACCCTATTCAGAGACAGCAGAGTTAAACACAGAAAATAGCAACTGTAGCAACTATCAATCAGGCATACACCCATGAGACAAGAACACCGTGCCATCAAAGCCAGTGTTTATCTGATAAAGGCCTGCCACTGAACACAGGAAGGGGTGGGGGGGTGGTGTGTCCTTTGCATAACACTTAATATGAATATTTATCTCTTAACCATATATTTCAGTTGCTTATGAACATCAATAAGGGAAAATGTTAATGTTTGTCCATGATACATGGTATCTAACAAATACTTAAGTCTTGAGACGGAAATATTCAATGATACCTTTTTCAGCTCTTCTTTGGAAAACTTTTCATAAGTGTTATGTTCCAGATAGGCAATGTGCTCTGCATTATTGGTACCAAATCCTATAGTTTTTCCTTTTTTATTTCCAGATGGTTCATAAGGGTGATGTAGAAGGTCATAATGAAGCATTGTGATCATTTCTTTTTTGATTAGTTCTTCACTTTTCTGTAAATCTGTCAGAGGTGGTTCTACATTTAAGGGTCTTAGAATAGTTTCATTTACCTAAAATTTTAAAACAAGTACAATTATTAAACATGTCACTGCAACATACTAATGTTATTAGTTCTACTAGCATGAATTAAATACAGGCACACCTTATTTTACTGGGCTTCACTTTACTGTGATTTGCAGGCAGTGTGATTTTTTACAAACTGTAAGTCTGTGGCAACCCTGCATTGAGCAAGTCTATTGGCACCATTTTTCCAACAGCATTTGCTCATTTTGTGTCTGTGTCACATTTTGGTAATTCTTGCAATATTTCAAACTTTTTCCTTACTATTCTATTTGTTATGGTGAGCTGTGATCTTTAATGTTACTACTGGAAAAAGATTACGACTCAGGCTCAGAAACTTAGATGATAATTAGCATTTTTTAGCTATCAGGTAGTTTTTAATTAAGTTATGTACTTTTTTTTTAGACATACTACTACTACACACTTAAAAGACTACAGTTTAGTGTAAACATAACTTTTACATGCACAAGGAAACCAAACAATTCGTGTGACTCGCTTTATTGTATGGCATTCTCTTTACTACAGTGGCCTGGAACCAAACCTGCAATATCTCCGATGTATGCCTAAAGCAGTTTTACATTTTCAAAAGAAATTATTTTCCTTTTTTCTTCAAAATTCTTATTTGGGGACTTCCCTGGTGGCTCAGTGGTTAAGAATCCGCCTGCCAATGTAGGGGACATGGGTTCGAGCCCTGGTCCAGGGAGATCCCACAGTCCACAGAGCAACTAAGCCCATGCACAACTCCTGAGCCTGTGCTCTAGAGCCTGCAAGCCACAACTACTGAAGCCCGTGCACCTAGAGCCCATGCTCTGCAACAAGAGAAGCCACCACAATGAGAAGCCAGCGCACCACCACGAAGAGTAGCCCCCGCTAGCTGCAGCTAGAGAAAGCCCGCAGGCAGCAGCGAAGACCCAATGCAGCCAATCAAACAATCAATCAATCAATTTATTTTTAAAATTCGTATTTGTACCAGTGAAGCATTTCAAAGATTGGATCTGGGAACTGCTTTACTATATTCCAGAAAGTAGATGAAATGTCGTTTTATAGACTTTATAATATAAAAAACATCAATCACATAAAAAGAAACTTAAAACTTCCTAAGCCAGAAATTCTAATACTTACTTCTGATGGTCTTGGCAGATCTTTCTGGACAGCTTTGTGCATTCGTTTCATTTCCTTTACACGCTCTGCATCTCGTATGGCCTAAAAAATTATTTTAAAAACCATTTTTGCAGCTATACAGTATTTGACACATTTCAGTAAAGCTGAAAACACTTTAGTCTATAAGAATATGTATGTTCAAGAGCTAAAGCTGTAGGAATCTGTGTTAAGTTTGTAGAAAGGAATATAAGGCCACTAAAATTAATCAGCCTATTCATTCTCCTATTACAGTAGAAACTAAGAACTTCCAACGTCTACCAGGAGCATTCTCCAGATTTACATGGCTCCCTCCATCAGATAATCATTCTTTTCTTGTCTAAATCAAATCCTAAATGTAGAGGGGATGCTTCCAATTATCCCTCCTGCAACACAACCTTTCCCTTCCACCTCAAAAGCTACTGATTTTTAATTTTAAAAGCCAGCCAATGAATGTGTTGTTTCCTGATTCTTAAATTATGAATAATGTGGGTTAACATATTAGAACTTCAAACCAGTTCTGAGAGTAAATGTAACTCAAAATAGCTAAGAGAACTAAACACATGAAGTATTATCATCTATTCCCCACCAAAAAGCACATTCATGTGGTTTCCCTCTAAAACGATTTCCATTGATGCCATTCTCACTGCAAACCCCGGGAAATTATTCAATTTCTAAAACCATCCTGAAATGGACTGCAGCAAGAACGTCTGAAGTGGGTCACATGATCTCAGTTTTAGTTCAAGTTTCACCAGTTTCAAGCCACAAGACCTGAGAAAGTTAACTTAATTCACCTGAGCCTGTTTCCTCATTTCTAAAACGAAGCTGACACCTATCCTACTTACATCACCTGGTTGTTATGCACAAATGAGAAAGTAATTAACTAGAAGATATATTAGTACAAGGTGTTACTAATTTTATTCTGACCCAGGCTACATATCCAAAGCCACATTTTTTATTAGTTTACACTGATGAAAAACCATTTACTCAACCAATCCAAGATGTACTTGTTTTTAAGACTGATAATAACATCTTTTCTTGGCTAGAGTGAAAGCAATGTCTAAAGGACTACTTATAAGTAGTAGTATAAGCATAATGAATTTGACAGAGGATATTTAAATGGTTATCCATATAATTATACATTTTAAGAATACCTATCAAGATATTCTAAGTATATTATGAACTATGTGAGCAAATATTATTAATGATGTAAGTAATTTTCTTCAGTGTAATTTTTTTTAATACTGAAAAAACTTTTAAGTAGAGATCTTGAGACATGTAACAGTCATCACCCACCTGCTTCCGTGCATCCACATCAGCAGCATCTTCAATGTAAGTATCATCTATTTCACGGTCTTCCAGTTCCTTCTCGGCATTTTCTGGTAGAACAATTTCAAAGTCATTCTTAGGGGCAGGAAGGCCCAACAACCCTAAACGGAGATGTTCACGAGATTCTCTTTCCTGTAGAAAAAAATTGGTCCTTCTCAATTCATACACATTAAAATATGCAACTAATATTGTGTAAGAGTTTCTAAAAAGTAATTGGCTTAATTTTAATTCTAGAAAAATGACCCCTAACTTCAGAGTTGAAACAAGATTTCGTTTAATTTCTATCTCCATTTCTTCCCTACCTTAAGACCAACCATAGGGCTTCCCTGGTGGTGCAGCGGTTAAGAATCCGCCTGCCAATGCAGGGGACACGGGTTCGAGCCCTGGTCTGGGAAGATCCCACATGCCACAGAGCAACTAAGCCCGTGAGCCGCAACTACTGAGCCTGCGCTCTAGAGCCCACAAGCCACAGCTACTGAAACCCGTGCACCTAGAGCCTGTGCTCTGCAACAAAAGAAGCCACTGCAATGAGAAGCGCGCGCACCACAACGAAGAGTAGCCCCTGCTAACCGCAACTAGAGAAAAGCTCACGTGCAGTAGCGAAGACCCAACACAGCCAAAATAAATTAATTAATTAAATAAATAAATTTATGAAAAAAAAATGAAACCTTTAAAACAAAAAAAAGGACGACTCATAAACTTTGATTTGTGGTCAACAAATTTACTCTGGAATAATCTAACAGAAGGTTTGAGAATTATCTCTGAAGGAGCAAAAAAAAAAAAAAAAAGTCCTTTAGGATTTCCATTTAAGGATTTCTGAAATTTAACAGCAAATGAAAAGAACAAGTTCAAAGGTAAATTTGTCCTTGGACTAATAAAACCTAACCTGAAAAGATGCCTGAATTTGTGTGTGTGTTTCTTTTCCATGCAAATACTAGATAATATGAAAGCCAAAGAAAACAGTTCATACTTCCCAAGAGAAAGTGCCTGGTACCCAAGTTTTCCCCAGTCCCTCCTCAGCTCACTTCTCTCATTCCCCACTGCTCCATTACACGTATGCTAGATGGAAGGACCAGATGAGCTGCTATGAGGCAAACATGCTCCAGGTTCACTCATGTTAACGGCCTCCACCTGGGACAGCCCCCAACCCTCCTCTGAGCATACCTCCTCAATGAAGGTTTTCCTAGTACCCACCCAACAAATGTGATTATTTCTCTGGCCAGCCAAAGCATGTTGGTTTTCCTCAAAGGGCTTATTTTATTCATATGTTACAATTATTTTTGGACTTGGTTTAGCACTGCCAATCTCTCCAGAGCATAAACTTCTTGAAGACAAAGGACAACTTTACTCAACTTTAGATTCCCTGAAGTGTCCAGATCCGTGCTTTGCACACATTAGATTCTTCATTTGTTTAATTCTTATGTAGCCACTCAGAGTTGGCATTACCTGATATCAATTTGGGCACTAAAAAAAATTCTCAACTAACCAAATCTATACATGAAGGTAGAATTAATTTGTAAACCAGAAGCAGACCATCACTGGAACTCATTTTTTAAAAAAATCTCACAATGATCTTCTATGGCACAAGTAAGAGGGCTCAACAGTGACGTAATAAAAGCAATAACGAGCAGAAACAAAACTATAACTTGTATAATTAGCTTTCTACATCACCTTGCAAAACATACAAAAGAAAACTTCACTAAGGTTAGCAACAAACATCAAATTAACGTGGCTTTGAGATCTTGACTGTCCTTCTAAAAGCGTAATGAAAACAGGAATCAATGTTCAAAATCTAATTTATGAGGCATTCGAAACTCAAAACATTTTACAGAACTAGGAAAAAAAATTAAATGTACCATTCAAGAAGGTAAAGTATTAATTAGTAAATGATAAAAATTAAAAATCACAAAAGATATAAGGAGCATTACTATCAGCATAATCATTACTGACAAATATATTAAGAATAAAAAGAAGTAAGCAATAAGACCATAAGATTTCCCTTCTCAAACCCTAAAAATCATGTTGCTTTTCTGGTGTCCGCAGGTGTACAGAATCTTAAGGTATATGCGATATGCACTGACAAGGGGAAAATTTTTAATTTGGTACCCATGGGATATTTTTTTAAAAACTTTTTTTAAAGAATACTAAAAGGGAATTGACATGTACCATCTGCTTCACATAAGAGGGATCACTGTAGTCTGCCATTCCATCCTCGGGATTAATGTTTAACTTGTCTCGAAGAGGCGTTCTACCCGGGGTGGAGTTAATAACTGGTTTGGGAGTTGTCCCACTCCGGGGAGTCAGCCCTTCAGATCCATGAGAAGGAGTTCTATAAAGACAGAAATTCCAATTAATGAAAGTGCCAATTTTATTTGGATCGTGCTTTCAAATGTTTTTCACATAAATTATTTTACAAGGAAAACAGAAAAGAAATAAAGATTCCAGAAATTCCATCTCCCTACCTGGTTTTTAGTTAGACCTCTAGGTTAAAACAAAGCTTTGGTTCAGCTAACTCAGTATTTACACACAGTATATTTATTTTAATGACTTCAAATAAAGTCACTACATCTGATATTTTCTTACCTTATTAATAACTAGGTCCACCAAACATTTTTCAACCTTTTTTTTTAATAAATATTTTTATTTATTTATTTTTGGTTGCATTGGGTCTTCATTGCTGTGCACAAGCTTCCTCTAGTTGCGGTGGCTTCTCTTGTTGTAGAGCACGGGCTCTATGCACACAGGCTTCAGTAGTTCTGGCACGTGGGCTCAGTAGTTGTGGCGCATGGGCTTAGTTGCTCTGCGGCTTGGGGGATCTTCCTGGACCAGGGATCGAATCCATGTCCCCTGCACTGGCAGGCGGATTCTTAACCACTGCGCCACCAGGGAAGTCCCACAACCTTTTCTTGACACATCAGGGTGGCTGAGAACACACAGTGGGCAGAGAGGTTGGCCACCACACTCAAGATCCCAAATGACTCCTTTTGAGTTCAGTATCTTCAACTTATCATTTGTCTCCTCCCTGCCTGTAGCTGTTGGCTATCACATCATCATCATCATAGATGTGCACACCTGAAATACTTCCTCCCTCTACATTTTGTATGGAAACCAAACACCAGGCTTTGAGAATCACATCTAAATATGAATAGCTCTGAGTTAGGTCTAAGAAACTCTCTTAGGAATAAAAGCCATAGACTTTGCACCTTATAGTTTAATTGTTCAAAGCCTTTTTTTTTTTTGGTTGATTACTTCCTGTATCTTGGCTGTGTTCCAGACAGGTGCTGCTGCCAGAGAGTTGTTCCCAGAGGTGAGGTGAGGTGTTACCATATAACACATGGTCCCTGCCCTCAATGAGCTTACAATCTAGTTAAGAAATGAGACACCCATGGGGAAAGAGGGATTAGGCTCTCTTGCAAGCCTTGCAATTAAATATTATATAAGGTTTTGGGTGCCAATGTTTCTTGATCCTGCTGTCATGTGCAACTGTAACAGTCTTCATATACTTAACAACCAGTAGGAGGACATAGTTTAAAATTAAAAGTAAACCCTAAGTATTTCTAACCTTAAAAGCTCAAATTCCATTTTAATACTAATTGCTTCTGTAATGTTTGGACCTTAAAAATTCTTCTTTAAAAACAGTAGCTTAAAACAAAAGAAGTATAAACAAATACTGAATTCTGAACTCTAGTTAATGATATACACAACTAGGAAGCGTTTAGGGCGAAATGGACTAATACCTGCAACTTGGAAATTATTAAAAATAAGACAGAGTGATGGACAAATATGTGATTAAAGCAAACACTGTAAAATATTAACTGGAGAATTGGGTGGTGAGTATATGGATGCTTGCTTTACCATTCTTTCAACCTCTCTGAATGTTAGAAATTTTCATAATAAAATGTTGGGGGAAAAGCAACAGTAATATACATAAAAAGGCTTAGAATTTTTATAAAATTCGCCAAATCATCATTAACAATGGATTGATCTGCTCTTTTAAATCAGATTAAAAGTATTCAGAAACGAGGTGATAGCACCAGAAACCCTGAAAAAAAAAAAGAAGCTCCATTTGGTATTTGACTATTTCCTGGATACTATAATGTTATTTGCTACTATGAGGAGAAATTAAAAAGCAAGTTAAACACTTATTTCCATTCTCTGCCAGCATTTCTAAAGCAAACATGTTGTCCAAGTCCTCGGATTCAAGTTTTTCTAAAGCAGAAAACATTTATTTACAATACCTGAATGGGGTAGAAAGAACTGTGTTTGGAGTCTGTACAACCTGCCGCTGTGGAGTCACACCTGAGAAGTCGCTCTCATGCAAAGGGGTGTTAAGTCCACCTTTTAATGGGGTGTCCACGTTGGTCAGAGCCATGAGGTTTTGGGCTTCCTGATTAACAAGAAGGTAAAGAAGCATGTTGTAACAGTTTAGACAGGAGAGCAAATTCCTCTCTTCTGTCCTACTACACAAATCTTGAAACAGGCAGAATTCTTATACATTTTTCTCAATGAAAACCAAGAGAGAAAACGAATACTGAGCTGTGGCAGAATTCAATAATTCCATTCCTTCTGTCAACCTAACATTAGCATGTCAGAAGTTCTGGAATAGGGCTTCCCTGGTAGTGCAGTGGTTAAGAATCCGCCTGCCAATGCAGGGGACACGGGTTCGAGCCCTGGCCCGGAAAAATCCCACATGCCACAGAGCAACTAAGCCCATGCGCCACAACTACTGAGCCTGCGCCCTAGAGCCCGCGAGCCACAACTACTGAGCCCACGTGCCACAACTACTGAAGCCCGCGCGCCTAGAGCCCATGCTCCACAACAAGAGAAGCCACTGCAATGAGAAGCCCGTGCACTACCATGAAGAGTAGCCCCCCACTTGCTGCAACCAGAGAAAGCCCGTGTGCAGCAACGAAGACCAATGCAACCAATAAATAAATAAATAAATAAATAAATAAGAATTCCCTAATAAATAAGTTATAGGGATGTAATGTATAGCACAGGGAATACAACCAATATTTTGCAGCAACTTTATATGGAGTATAATCTATAAAAATATCAAATCACTATGTTGTACACCTGAAACCTATTCAATATTGTAAGTCAGCTATACTTCAATAAATAAATAAACACATTTTAAAAGTAAAACAACTTAAAAAGAAATCTCCCCAATAAAACATCCCAGCCAGTTCAGCCCACAGGAAAGTCTGGAGTCAAGGGGTCCTACCCACACCCAAGGAGTGTCTAGTCAGCTTTTAATTGCCCTACCCTTATTCCCTAGATATAGGCAAAGAACAAGATCAAAAGATATTTGAGGGGCTTCCCTGGTGGTGCAGTGGTTGAGAGTCTGCCTGCCACTGCAGGGGACATGGGGTCAAGCCCTGGTCTGGGAGGATCCCACATGCCGTGGAGCAACTGGGCCCGTGAGCCACAGCTGCTGAGCCTGCGCGTCTGGAGCCTGTGCTCCACAACAAGAGAGGCCGTGATAGTGAAAGGCCCGCGTACCGCAAAAAAAAAAAAAAAAAAAAAAAAAGACTGTGCAGGAAAAAGAAAACTTATAAAAACAAAGCAAAACCATCATTAATAGCCTCAGAGAAATAAAAAGATATTAATTAAATGAGACATTTAAAAATTGAACACATTTAAAAAAGAGCTCTTAGAAATTAAAAATATGACAGTAGAAATTTTAAAAAAAGATAAAATTCAGAAAATCTCCTAGCAATGAAATCAAAGTCAATTAAGACAGAAAACCAGAGAGTAATAAGTAGCAAAATAAATTAATGAAAGGGAAGAAATTTTTTAATTTTCAAAATAACTTCCCAGAATTGAAGGCCATGACTCTACAGAATTAAAAGACCCACCAAGTACCTAGCACAGTGGTTAAAAATAGACCCACATCAAGAAACACGCATGTGAAAAAGAGAAGATCATATAAGCTTCCAGAGAAAGAAAAAACCAGGTTTCCTATTAACAACCTGAATGGCACAGGACGTATCAATAGCAACAATGAAAGCCAGAAGACACCAGAGCACTGCCTTCAAAATTGTGAACAAAAACCCTTTCAATCTGGAATTCTATACCCTGTTGTACTATCAATCAGATAAGAGGGTAGGACAGTTATTTACAGATATTCAAGGTCTTAAAAATTCCATCTCCCATGAAACCTTCCTCAGAAAGCTACTGACAGATAGACTTCACCAACAAGGGAGTCAACCAAAAAAGCCAGAGACATGGGAGCCAAGAAAGAGGAGACACAAGGGACTTTCTAGGGTGACAGTGAAGGGAAAGCAAGAGAACAAGCTGTAACAAGATCTAAAGAGTAATCAGTCCAGACTAGAACATTCAGAAGTTCTGGGAACGACTTCAAGTGTTGAAAAAGGTAAGAATACCTAAAATGTGACCAGATTACAGGAGATTTACAGTTAGTATAAAGTCCAGAACTGAATTTGTGCTAAGTAATCAGAAAATTTAGCAACTAAATAAAACAAGTATTAATTCAAAGAAAAACAAAATACTGTACAGTAGAGTAATTATAAGGCATTTTGTGGGTTAAGTGCAGTTTGACCCACAGTTTACGTAGTGAATGAATGCAGTTTACGTAGTCATAAGGTAAACCATTAATATGGAGCTAGCCAAAATTATGATTAACTATAATGGAAGATGGGAAAATGGAAAGAAAGAGTGTGTATGCATAGTAGAGGCAGAAGGTGTGAGAGAGCCAGATGTTCAAATCCTTGGTGGAAAAATGCCTAAAACTGAAGAAAAACCAAAATGTAACAAGTGTCTTAGTAGTAAGGTGGTAAAAACAAAGAGCTATCACTGGTACCTCTAGAGAGCAAGCAATGAGGGGCACTGTTTTTCTTACAAAGTCTTGCAGGACTATTTGACTCTTGAATCAGTAGTCAAATTATATTTGACTATTAGAAAATTGAGATGTAAGAGTGCTAAAAGACTCAGTAGTATTCCGTTAGGTTTGTCTATTCTCTGGCATGCAGACACCCTAAAGAACACACAGGGCTTCCCTGGTGGCGCAGCGGTTGAGAGTCCGCCTGCCGATGCAGGGGACACAGGTTCGTGCCCTGGTCCGGGAAGATCCCACATGCCGCGGAGCGACTAGGCCCATGAGCCACAGCCGCTGAGCCTGCACATCCAGAGCCTGTGCTCCACAACGGGAGAGGCCACAGTAGTGAGAGGCCACAGTGGTGAGAGGCCCGCGTACCGCAAAAAAAAAAAAAAAAAAAAACACAAAGACCTGTACACCCTACGTGCTAAGGAGAGAGAGGGAAATAGTACTGAAGGCAGTCTATGCCAAGCTAAGTACAGAATCACAAGGAAGTTTTAAAAATTACTAACTACATGTTTTTGATTTTTTTTCCAGGACTGCTAGGCAATGTGAAATTTTTAAATGCTATGCTTTACTGACAGGATTTAGCTTCCCTACTACAGAAATCTCTAGCAGCTATGCATTCAGGACTGTTTCAAACTGCTTACCCTAAAACACACAAAACCAAACCATTTATAGTGTTCTCCTTTATAATACTTTTAAGGATAATAAACAAAGTGAAAGGCTCACTCTACCATATGGCAGCCTACCTGCAGAATTCTGTCCTGGGAAGCTGGTGTTCGTGGTGTTCTCAAAGCGATGCTGTTGTTGGTGACATTGTACTCAGACAAGAGAGTACTGGAAGCCGAGTTTGTTATGCCAGATTCCTCAGCAGTTTGACGTGCAATTTCACTTGCTTGGCCTACTTTTACAACTTCCTGGAGTTCTGCATCTGAAATCTAAAGACACAGTTATCACAGTAGCAATATTTTAACCAAGAATAACACAGCTTAAAACTTCCACATTCCAGAAGATGAATTGCTGAAGCTGTGTGATGAGTACACAGGGGCTCATTGTAGCACCCTCTTTACTTTTTGTGGGTTTGAAAATTTCCATAATAAAGTTTTTAAAAGTCTTCCCTATTTAATGGGGGGGGGAGGGGGGCGGAATTCCATATGTGACATAGAATCAAGCTGCAAATACTGAAATTCCTTTTCAGTATTTCCATACTGAAATTCTTTCAAACCAAAATATTTATAAATCAAGAACATAAAATAATAGTGTTTATACAAAGCCATTTATCAATTGGGGGAGGGTGGGCACTAAAAACCAATTAAAATATCACACAGAGTCCACAAAGCCACAAGATCCCTAAGAAAATCAAAAGGTGTTATCTTTGTAATTTTACCAAACTAAATATCCTAAGAACAAAAAAAAAATTACAGGCAAAATCTCAGTTTAAGAAATATAACTACTACGAATAACAGCATCTAACAAAATTATTTTATGTTTATGCCCAAGGATTTTGTACTGATGCAGCCAGGGCACTCATTTGCAGGAAGAAGCTGTTCAAGATTCCTAAATCCATCCCTCTGCTCCATTTAACTGTCCAATTCTACAAAGCTGTACTCGTCAAAACAAAACAAGAGCTTATTCAAAATCCCCATGTTTCTGACCAACTATAATTCAAAGGAACAGAGCCTATGATGAGCTGAATGAATTTTCTCTTCTCCACAACTCCCACGTTGATTTTCACAGCTATTGTCTCAAAAACAGAAGGAGGTGTGACACAACAAAACATTTAGAAAGGGGTCTGAAGTCCACAAGGCCAAATACCACTTTTATCAGCTACAAAAAAGAGGTCTGGAGCCCTAGCCTACTGAAAAATGGCTAAGAGCTGACAATTACTTACTAAACCATCATATGAGCAGTTCAAGGCCTGATATTTCTTAAAGGTACCAAGCACCCAGCAAAAGCCTGGCACATAGGCCCGCAAACATTTGCTGGATAAATGGTAAGCATATGAGTTCATACAATGAAAAACCTGCTTTTATCAGATTACCTGAGGGGCAGGTAGTACTAGTTTGCTTCTCTTTTTAGTAAATTCAGAAACACCACTAGTTTGAAGAATTGCTGACGGTAAATCAGATTCTTTTTTCCTTTTCAAATGCTGCTTGTCTTTTTTTCTATCTCGTCCTTCTTTTTCACTGTCATGGATCAAGGTGGAGAACAGATTTTTTAAAGTTACATAGAGGCAGCAACATTAAACGCCATATAAATAGTCATACGCTCTGAACGAAATAATCCCATTCCTAATAAAATTATGACAAAAAGACAAAACAATATACATTAAGTTGTTCCCTACACCATTACCTACCCACTATACTCAAGAGGAATGCAGACTTAGAATAGCAATAGAATTACTAAGAAAATAAGATACACTAAGCAATTTAAGCACTAAATATTAAAACTACGTAACTATAGGGCTTCCCTGGTGGCGCAGTGGTTGGGAGTCCGCCTGCCGACGCAGGGGACACGGGTTCGTGCCCCGGTCCGGGGGGATCCCACATGCCACAGAGCGGCTGGGCCCGTGAGCCATGGCCGCTGAGCCTGCGCGTCCGGAGCCTGTGCTCCGCAACAGGAGAGGCCACAACAGTGAGAGGCCCGCGTACCGCTAAAAAACAAACAAACAAACAAAAAAAACACCTATGTAGCTATAAAGACTATGATAAGCAAAATGTTACATATAACATGAAAAGAAAAACATAAAACTACTCCTATATTGTGACTATGTTCATGTAAAAATATGTGTGTGCACATAGGAAAATGAAGTATACAAAAACGGAAACAATTAAATGAAGGGAACAGAATTAAAACGTGAGTTTTAAAGTTTTCCTTTAAAACTAGTCTTCAATTGTTTGCTATGATTTTGTTTAGTTCATAAATTTTTTTAAAGGATATCTAAGTCCTGACAAATGACACCAGAAAGTTGTTAAGGTCTAAAGCCAGGCTCAAGGCCGTCTTTTAAAGGACCAGGAATGCCTTCTCCCCCTCTGCATGTCATCCTCTTCTTCCATCTAGTCTACTCCTTCCAAATGACTATTTTTTCTTCAATCTCTTTATTTGTAGAGGCTACCTAAAGCAAGGTCCTAATTTGAAAAATAAATACAATGGAGTACATCCAAGAAAATCCAGTTTCACAGTGACTGACATCTGTTGTTTACTAACAATTCATGTCAACAGAAATGGAAGGCCACTGGGGGAGTACTAAAAATCTCTGACAGTCCTAAAAGGTTCTCCCCACAACATTCAGATATAACAATTTAAAAACTCTAAAAATCCCTAGAAATAAACAAAATCCTCTGTATTCTAAGACATTTTATAAATATACCTACTAATCGCCATTAAGTGAAAAGATTTAAAAATGCATTGGTAATGTTTTTCCTCTTAATTTCATTTTAAGAAAAACAAGAGGGAATTCCCTGGCGGTCCAGTGGTTAGAACTCATCACTTTCACCGCCGGGGCCCAGGTGTGATCCCTGGTCAGGGAACTAAGATTCCGCAAAGTCTCATGGCGCAGGCAAAAAAACCCAGAAAAACAAGATAAAATTTTCACTAGAAAAAAAACTAAGAAGAAGCAGACCAGATTTTGACAGAATCCTTCAGGCCATTAGTAAAATAACTAACCTCTTCCCAAAGGTACATTTCGTAAATGTTAAGACTGTGATTCTGAGTAGACAGTTCACTAAGAGCCAAGCGCTGACATTTCGAGAGCTTCGAACAATGTTCCGTGCTAAAAGCGTTACAGCCAGGGTCACTGGTTTTCTCAGAAAGGTGAATCCATTAAATAAGTAAAAGCATTATGTAAACCACATTGTGCTAAGAAATATCTGGCTCTGACAAGGATAATACTTGGCCCTCCATAAAATTACTACTATACTTTTCCATTTATAAAAACAGAAAGGCAACTTACGATCTCAGCTCCCCATCAAGATCCTGTTGTCTTAACTTTCTGAAATCGGCATCAAGAGCCTGGTAGTTTTCCTCAGAAGTATCATAGAAACCAAGAGCAGGCTTTTTTTCAAATGGGATTTCAGCGTTATAATCAACTCCTCTCTTCTTTTTTCTTTTCTTCTGAATTTCTATGCCAGCTGCTCGAAGTTCTCTTCTCTTCTGGAGGGCAGCAAGACGCCTGAAGAAAGAGAACACAAATCACCTTCAAAATCATACACCATTGGGAAAGGATGGATCATCCATCAGAGTTATGAAAACTACCCGGTCACTTGGAGAAGAAATATTTATTTAAATCCTCACCTCACACCGTTCACCAAAATCAATTCCAGTTTTGATTTAAAGGTACACACATACACTAGAGCAAAGAGAAAAGCCAGAAGGAACTATAAGTAAATATGTATCCAATCTCTGGATGGGAATATACTCACTTAATATAAATTAAATAAAGGGTGAAAAAAACAATCAACAGCTTTGAATTTTAAAATTTATATCCCTGTAGCACCATTTTTTAAAAATCATAAAACAATATGAAAAGGCAAATAATAGGAAAAAATTTTGCACTTAGTATTAGGAATGGTTAGATATAAAGAATCTAAGCAAGTTTTTAAAAAATGTACCCAAGGGAAAGGAAGAACAAAAGGAAATAAACAGTTCACTAAGGGAAAAAAATGCAAATAGCTAAAATGACAGAGTGTACTTTAATAATTAAAGAATCACAAATTAAATCAAGTACCATTTCTACATATCTAATCAACAGCCTTCAATTTTTGCTTTGTTTTAATGGCAAGGGTGCAAACAGTGGATGTCTCTCACAATGGTAATGAGAAAGTACAGCGGTATAGCTTTCCCCAAAGAGAATTTGGAAATACACATTAATACCCCTAACTTTTTTACGTTTTTAACCCAGCAATTTCACTCTTCAGTCTTAGCCTAAGGAAATAAATAGGGACATGTACAAGGCCTTAGCTACAAGACTGGTTACCAAGCACTGTTCAGAAAAGCAGATAAACAGATACAACCTAAACATCCAACAATAACAAATTAGTTAAAATAATTTATAACACAGCTATAAGATAAGATATTATATGGCCATCTAAATAACCTTTAAGAAATCTGTAGGGCCTTACCGTGTGGCACAGTGGTTAAGAATCCGCCTGCCAATGCAGGGGACACGGGTTCGAGCCCTGGCCTGGGAAGATCCCACATGCCGTGGAGCAACTAAGCCCGTGTACCACAACTACTGGGCCTGCGCTCTAGAGCCCACGAGCCACAACTACTGAGCCCACGTACCACAGCTACTGAAGCCCGCACGCCTAGAGCCCGTGCTCTGCAACAAGAGAAGCCACTGCAATGAGAAGCCCACGCACCGCCAACGAAGAGTAGCCCATGCTCGCCGCAACTAGAGAAAGCCCACGTGCAGCAACAAAGACCCAAAGCAGCCAAAAATAATAAATAAATAAATAGATAGAGAGATAGAAAGAAATCTGTAAATCTACTCTGACATGGAAAGATGCTCAAGACACACTGCTGTTTAAAACAATGTTACAAAGTTTACATGTTATGGAGCAACATGTAAAATATGCATATCTATCAGTGAATACGTGCATGGGGAGATGTGAAGGATGTTCACCGGAACAGTAACAGTGATAATCATAGAAGGTTGGAATTTCATTTCAACAAAAGTCCTTTGTACTTTCCCAAGATGCTATAATGTTAATGATTCAATGATTAGAAAAGCTATTCAGAATATTCAAGAGGGGAAAAATCAAATTATAAAACAGTATATAGGAGCAATTTCACAAACCCACTCCCCAGCAAAACTGACAAAAATTATTAAAAAAAAAAAAAAAGTTAAGTCTCTGGAAGGGATCCTAAAGGAGATACAGCAAATGAAGAAACGTTTATTCAAGAAAATCTACAAAAATTCGATAAGAAAAGTGAGAGCCTGCAGTATTCAAATCAAGACCCACTCCCTCTTCTCTTCCCCGTCCCAGCTCAGGGAGACAGAAACTCCACTCCACACTTGGTGCAGCCAAGAACACAGGGTTCTCTCTCCCCTCCAGCTCTCTGGCTTTCATTCCAGTAGGGGCAGGACAGCAGCATTTCTCATCCTGCCTCCAGGAAGCCACTGCAGAGGCTAAGTTCAGACAAGAGTGACTGAGGAGTGGCTTCCTTCTTCTGCCCAGGGGCTCTACCTTGGGCACAGTGCTACTGAGAATACTGGAGCCCAACGATCCTTGCCTGGGCCTGTGGGATGAGGGTCAGGGTTAGGGTCAGAGTTAGGGGACCTGGGGCTGCTGCCTACCCCCACCCCGACACTGAACACTCAGCTCCTAAAGTGGGTGTGTCACTCAACGACAAGTACATCAGCGCACCTGGATAGAACAGAGAATTCCAAACTCCCCCCAAAGAAACTGACTTCATTTGCAAAAGGAAATGGAGACGTTCAGGCCTCTCAAAACAGGGCACTCTCAAAAACAGTGGAAGTCTCGGTGAAAGGCAACTGTGAAGAAACTGACAGATTCTTTGGAGATGCAGCTAAACTGCAGGCCCACTAGTTTGCCAGAGAGAATCAATCTCTTTCGAAAAGTGGGAGAAGCCCTCCTGGGATGAGAACAACTACCAAACACTGACCTCAGAAACTATCCCTTCAAAGGAGCCGAAGTTTGATTGGAACACTTTGTGGAGCAATTTATGCCTCAAGCCATCGTTGAAAACAACACAGCAATAAGCTGGCAATGAGTAGAGTTTAACAGCTGGGTGTAGCCAGGGAAGAAGATGTCAAAGAAAGTCCTGTCAAAACCACCTCATCCCAAGGCGACTGTGGGCACACCCAAGACTGTGTCCCCATGAGGAGCAACATCAGAAGCTTCACATTTCTGGGTGAGGAATGGGGAGAACAGACTTCAGTAAAATAATCCAGCTAGTCACTAAAGGAGTAAGTAAGCAAGCAACAGTAACAAGGAGTGGATGGAGGCAACACAGTACCCAGAACTGCTACAATATATCATCCAAAGTGTCCAGTTCTTAACAAAAATAGGTGAGACATGCAAAGAAACAGGAAAGCATGACCCACACCAGAAAATAAGCAGGCAACAGAAACTGCCTGTGAGAGCAACCAGATGTCAGCTTTGACAGACTTCAAAGGAGACATTACAAGTATCTTCAAAGAACAAAAGAAGGAAGGTAGGATGAAAATGTTCATCAAATAGAGAAAATTAACAAAAAGAAATAATTAAAAAGAACCAAATGGGGCTTCCCTGGTGGTGCAGTGGTTGAGAGTCCGCCTGCCAATGCAGGGGACACGGGTTCGTGCCCCGGTCCGGGAGGATTCCACATGCCACGGAGGGGCTGGGCCGGTAAGCCATGGCCGCTGAGCCTGCGCGTCCGGAGACTGTGCTCCGCAACGGGAAAGCTGAAACGAAAACTTCACTAGAACAGATTCGAAGTAAAGAATTAGCCAAGATGAAGATAGATGGATAGAGATTATGCAATCCAAAGGAAAGGGAAAAAAAAAAAAGAATGAAGAAATACGAACAGAGCCTCATAGAAAGGTGGAACACCATTAAGTGCACCAACATATGCACAGTAGGAATATCAAAAGGAAAGAGAAAAAGGAGAATAAAACATTAGAAAAAGGAGAACAAAACATTGGCTGAAAATTTCTCAAATTTATTGAAAATCATTAACCTACACATCCAGGAAGCTCAACGAACTGCAAGTAAGATAAACATTAAGAAATGCACAAACAGAAACATTATATTAAAATGCTGAAAGCCAAAGACAAGGAGAAAATCTTGTAAACAGAGAAAAACGATTCATCACTTACAAGGGAACCCCAGTAAGATTAACTTCTCATCGAAACAGTATGATCTAATTTTACACAAATGTTACTGTATGTGTAGTACACATAAATGTATGTCTATATTGAAAAGAGAAAGGTTTGAAGGGACACATTTCATAAGTAATTTTATTCTTTAAATAAAACAAAGACTTCAAACGACATTAGAAAACCTTTACAATATAATGCTAAGTGAATATAACCAAGCTATATAGCATTGTATCAACCATGCCCCAAAAAGTAAATAGTACAATACTAGTATTTTGTAGGAAAAGTGTTATTACTTTTATAATCAATAAAAAGCTTTAAGTTATAAAACAGATCTGTAATTTAACATTTAAAGTAAATAGTCCTGCAGTACATTCTCCATACACACCAATCTAGTTAATTACAAGATATATGCACAAGTTATAAAGATGTTCTACAAGAAAGTGTACGGTAAATTTAAATCTAGAAAAATGTATTTGTTAAAGCAAGCAATACCAACCATACTTGGAGATTTTCATATATGTACCTGTCACATCCCTGGGCCAATCCACATGGTTAAAAAGCTCAAACAATTTGGTCCCCAAACAACCATGGACAGAAAAGGAAAAATGAATTTTTTTACCTTACTCACATTACTTAACCCTAAATAGTATACGGAACAGAAAGGTGACTAAGACCCAGCAGAAAATTTAGAACCTCCTCTTAGCTTCTGTTTACTGTCCCAGGCCAGTCATACTCCCATCATAAGTAACTATTCTGGGCTAGCGGTTGTCCAGCTATGCCAAAAAGCATCCTCTGGCATAAAAGAATCCTCCATCCCAGGATCTGGCACTTCACAGCCATTACTGGGGAACCATCAACACAATGCTAGTTATTAGGTCAGGAAGTATCAATACTTCCCAGCTTAGGGACCAAAAAAGGTAGTTGTGGAGGCTGGGGAGGCTATTCCAATGCCTGAATTCCAAAAGCTAATAAGCTCTTATAAAGTTCAAGTTTTCCCTTTAACCACTTCATCTGGGTTTCTAGGCCATTAGAAATGAAGTCAACCATGGATCTAACCAAAAGGGAGGGGAAAGTAGAGAAAGCCTTGAGTAGAGGGCTATACTTAATTCCACTCACTTTTTAAATACAAATTTCTATGACAGCCTAAAATGTGGTTCAAGGCTCATTAACTCCCTCCATGTTCAGCTGAGTCTCCTGTTTCACAGCTGTTGCCTGCCCAACGCTAATCAAGGAGAGTAACTAATTGGCAGTCACACCACAGTCCCAGAGCCCCGTATGTCCTCCAGCCATCTGACGCCAAGATGGCTACAACAAATGAAGCTCCCCCATGCTAACAGAACAAATCCAACACACCAAGACATCCATGTATGTCTATACCCGGGCATTACTTCTGCCATGTTGGAATTAGACAACTCTAGTTATCATTCACCCTACAGGGTTGATAAATCACACAGTTTTACTGGGCCTAAGGATGCATAGACTAATTTGTTCAACTATAGATGGAAAACAACCATACCTTGCTTCTTCCAACTGTTTCTCCCTTGCTTTCCTCTTGGCTTTCTTTCCCTGAGTATTAGCCAGGCGGGCTCTAGCTTCAGAAAGCATCTCCAATTCATCTGCAAAAATAAAGAGAACAAAAACTAACTTCTCCAACAGAAGCAAGGTGAGAGACATACCCTAGTGCTTAAGATGAGAAAACCCATCAATATAATCATTATATGGTGCAGCATAAAGGAAATAGCTTGGGTTTTTAAGTCAGAGAAACCTAAGTTAAAAATCATGCCCACCACTGGACAGTTATGTGACTCTGGATAATAACATTTCACCACTTATAAAATGGGAATAACAATTCCTACTTCACAGGGATGTTGAGAAGAACTAAGGAAAAAGGAATAGGTAAAGCATCTAGCAAATACTCATTAAACAGTGGCTATAATTATCATATCCTTCATTATCATCAACTATCTGGCACAGCACAAACTGTGAAATATTGTAAAAACTACTGTTTAATTATAAGGGGACTGACAATCTTCATTATCATTGTTCCTTCATTTTTTTCCTTAGAACTATTTCTCTCCTCCAGTATATTTTCCATAGCTCCCCAGAGTAGAACAAATTTCATTACTGATACCTTAGAGCAATTCCTACACAAGGGTGTCCAATGAAATCACAAGGGAACTTTAAAAAACAAAAAAACCCTCAGATTCCAGGATTACCCTCCATTCCCCGCCCCCCAATTTACTGACACAGACCTCCTGGGGGAGCCCTGGTACCTTTATTTTTTAAAGTTTGCCATGTGACAGTGACGCAGCCAGCCTAGCCACAGTCTGCCTTTGGGAACAACTACCTTCAAACCTTTAAATTAAAAACTCAACAAATATTCACTGAATGCTTCACGACAACCCTGTGAAGTAAGATAGATATTATTACTCTCCATCTGACAGGAAAGAGAACCAAAGTTCAGAGAGATTATATGACTCATCTAAAGTCAAATAGCTAATAAGTGGCAGACATGGCACTAAACTAGATTAAAATCTAGTTCCTCTGATTCCTGATTCAATGTCTCAAAAAGGCATCGTTAAGTCTCCCTCATGGTATTGTAGTGTTGCCCTTTCAAGAAGATCAAACTTCCTGTCTGAAGTCAAAAAAGTAGTTAGTAGGAGCACTGGATCCCCCAAATCCTGACTTGTTGCCTCTCCCCTCGGAATAGAAATGAGAACACAGAATCCTAAAGAGCTTACCTCTAGCCACCAGGAAATGTCCAGTAATATCACACTGCTTAACTTACTAAATGGATTGAAACATCAAAAGATAAAGGGACATTATACAAAAAGAGCAATTACTCTATGACAGAAGGTTGGACACACTTGGAAAGATACTTAGAGTAACAACTACAGACAGAACTGCAATTCGAAGAAGTCAGAGGAGTTTAGAAAAGAACTAAGAGAGTTAAAAGAAGGCCTGAGAAGAAATAAATTCCTCACAAAAATACACTTACCCTCATCCATATCAATCGGATCAGGCCGTGCTGGTTTTGTTTCTGGATTTGGATCTATTTCTCCAGGTTTAAGTTTTCGTGGATCATCTGTTGTTTCCTCTTCATTGTCTCTCTGGGCAGCTTTATCCCTAGGAATGAGCCCAGAGTAATCAGTCACACTACCACCCGTTTAGCCTTAGAAATACCAGGTTCCCTAGTGCTGACACCCTTTTCTTTGAAAAACCCAACGGCTGGGCATCAACAATAATCAAGCATTTCTACTACTGCTTCACCTGAAAAGAGATGGTTTTAAATTTCTCTCTAATTTCAGTGTTTCCATTCACCATGAAACAGGATCCAAGCAGCTCCCTAAATCACAAATGCAGCAGAGCCACACAAAAAAGCTTTTAGAGAAGAATCAAGATGTTCCAATGGTTAACTCTCAGCAGTATGACTATGGGTGATTTTTATTTGCTTTTTCACTATTTTTTTCCCAGATTTTCTATGATGAACATGTATGATTTGTATAACTTTTTTTTTTAGTATTTATTTATTTATTTATTTGACTGCGCTGGGTCTTAGTTGGGGCACGCAGGATCTTCGCTGCAGCATGCGGGATCTCTCAGTTGCAGCATGTGGGCTCTCAATTGCAACATGCGGGATCTAGTTCCCTGACCAGGGATCAAACCCAGGCCCCCTACACTGGGAGCGTGGAGTTTTAACCACTGGACCACCAGGGAAGTCCCTGTATAATACTTTTTAATTATTTCTTTAAAAAGTATATAAAAGGAGACATAATCTCGATCAACCACACGAGACTTGGAACGTACAATCCAATAGCTTTAGCTCCTCTGGCTTTATTCAGATCTGTAACTAATGTTTAAGGACAGAAAATGCTAAAAGTGTATTCAGCCTCATTCAGAAGATATACACACATTTTAATACTGCTTTTGGAGATTCACTTACAGAAGAAATTCATAGTGTTCCAAACACTGGGCAGCTGTTCTTCCAATGATTGGAGCAATGGTCCTCCACTGAGTTGGCATCAACTTGGCCAAGTGCAAGAGTTTTTCCTCTTCTTCTCTGGACCATTCTGTTTTCTTAATGCTGGGATCCAGCCACTCATACCTATTAAAAAGACATCATTTTATACCTTAGTCAGTCACCCAGCATGAATATCCTCCTTACGTATTAGACATACTGGCTTCTAGTATCTGAAAAATGCAAGCTAACTCTCATCCTTCAATCACAAAAGCTGGTATTTTTTTTACAACAGAATATTCCCTATTTGGTTAAACTTACCCCATTCCAAATACCCTATCTCACTAAATTCTACTGTATTTTAATTATGCAAGGTTAGTAATGCTTAAGAAAGGTAACATGACTGAAACATGATCATATGCCTTCCTTCTCAACTACCAATTGTTTCCATTCATCTTACACTTTATTAGAGGTTTTGCATTTATAAATAAGACAAAACCACCTCATATTTTCACAGTGTTTCTAGTTTTCATAGTACTTTCTGGTGCTTTGATTTGATTCTTACAACACCCTGGCTTACTTCTTTAAGCATTTGACTTACACTCACTAAATGCTTTTCAAAACTGTATTTGTTTGGTGAGTTTTTTAATTTAAGTAAAACTACTGTGTCATCTCTGTCTTTCCTCATGCTCCACCTGACCCACCTTCTCCATCCAGTCTACTTAGCTGGATGAGAGGCCTGCAAACAATATATAAACCTTACCAAACAAAGTGGTAGGAGCTTAGCTCCACTAACAGAACCAGAAATCAGAACCACTTATGCAGGCTGAGGACCATCTTCCTCTTTGTGGGCCAATCTCTACATTCTGATCCTTTCCCCTACCCAGGTGCCCAGGAAATTAGGTCACTCTTATACAATCCAAAATATGATCCTAGTACCACATGGGTCAGGGCTGGGGCCAGATCACTCATGCCAAAAATACATGTAAAGAACTTAGTATGTCCACTACCCTGTGACTTAAAAGGGGACACCACAGATGTAATGTTGGGTTATGTTATATTCTGGGGAAGCAAATATACAATGTTTCAACGATTCATGAGGAAACTCAACTACTGTAAGCTAGCCTAGAAAATTAACCATTATTTATCATTTATTTCTTTGGGAAAGTAAGTTCTAAAACAATCCACTTATAAACTTTTGGAATACAATCCATTTATAAGCTAGGGTCCATCTGTACCTAAAAGTAGTTTTATTTCATGCTTCACAAAGCACTCTCAAACAACATTAACTCATTTGAGCCTCACATCTCCATCAGTTAGGGCCAAGTATTACCCCCAGTTGGGAGAAAATAGTGGCAGGAAAGAGGGGCTAGAAAATGGCTTGCCTAAGATCACATAGGAAGCAAATGACAGCTAATTCTTAAATCTAAATTCCCATCTCCCACTCCATACTTTCTGTTATATCACAATGCCTGCTTTCTTTGGTAAGGTTCAAAGAAATGACATTTTCCTCACCATAATTAAGGTCATTTTGTGTTTTCCACTCATTAACTGGTACATACCATCTGGCTTTGCACTGCTTTGCTGATTTTCTATGCAGCAGTGAGGCAATCCTAGACCACTGGTTTTTCCCATATTTCATTACCGCTGCCTTCAAAATTTCATCCTAAAAATTGTTGAAGAAAAACAGTGTATTCAATCACAAAACTCCAAGTGAGAAAAGGCAAAATTAAAATTAACTCTAACAGAGCTGTGCTATGGAGAGAGATATCAACACACACATATATCCTAGATTTAAAAAGAAAGTACAAAACTTCATTACAATAATTAAAAAAAAGCAAGCCAGAATCAGTGAAATCCAAGAAATTAAGAACTCCTTTAGAGGGATTTCCCCAGTGGTGCAGTGGTTAGGAATCCACCTGCCAATGCAGGGGACACGGGTTCAAGCCCTGGTCTGGGAAGATCCCACATGCCATGGAGCAACTAAGCCCGTGCACCACAGCTACTGAGCCTGCGAGCCACAAATACTGAGCCCGTGTGCCGCAACTACTGAAGCCCGTGCGCCTAGAGCCCGTGCTCCGCAACAAGAGAAGCCACCGCAATGAGAAGCCCGCGCAATGCAACGAAGAGTAGCCCCCGCTCGCCGCAGCTAGAGAAAGCCCACGCGCAGCAATGAAGACCCAATGCAGCCAAAATAAATTAATAAAATTAACTAATTTTAAAAAAAAGAACTCCCTTAGAAGGACATCCTACCCTCCCTTACACACAACCCCTTCCCTATCCCGTCCAGTAATTGGGAATGGGTACGGTGTGTGGCTGTTATTCTCTTCAAAAGAATATGGCTCATTCATTTATTCATTCATTCAAAAAACATTCCCTGAACACCAACCTTGTACCAGGTCTTGTGTACTTAGGGAAAG